AGAAGGGCCTTACTTTGGGCGTTCCGCTAGTAACAACAAGACAAACGTGCATTTGTGAGGGCCCACAGCAGATGCGAGAAAATTAGGTCTACCAACTTCCCTGTATTCTGCCCCACATTCTGTCCAGTGGGAAGGAATCCCTTCACGTTCCTTGAGGGGGAATTGCGAAGCAAAGCTACCGTTGCAACCGCTGCCTTTGAACAGGTTTACAGCTCTGGTTTCCGATAGAATGCATGGTACATCCCAGAGAAAAGGACTGACGTCAACTCCTCCACATTTCATCCTCCTACTTGGCTTCTAACTCAAGCACTGCAGTTTCCTGTGTGTGTTCTTTCACGTGTAGCTATAGAAACGGCTCGTAAAAAACGTGCACGAAACCAAATCCCCTAGTCGATAGGTGCGTGATGTTAAGTCTCACCCGCAGTGCGCTGTTCCCTACTTTCTGCTAATTATGGCTAATGACGATTGTGATGTTTCTGCTTTATGTGGACGACTCGAAGCTATCAAACTCGTCCATAAACCTGTTAAACTTGCCCAGAAACCCCCGAGATGTCGCAGATCGTCAAAGAAGAGGAAGCCTATTCAGGTGTACACTGATGGTTCGTGTATCGACAACAGGGCTTCAGGATTTGGGATCTACTTTGGGCCACATCATGAGCTCAACAGGTTGTCGTTTTAGAACTTTCTCATCGTGAAATCTTCCCACCAATATCACCTTGTACTGATACCTTGCTTGCTTTTGCTTCTTGTTTTAAAATATCGATTGTAAGCCCGGGAAGGTTACTTGGGCTCAAAGTACGCAGCCAAAAGTAAGCGATGTGGTATCGCGCGCAAACCACTACTACCAGTTGACCCGATATGGCACTTTTGCGTGAAGTTGCGAGAAAAAAGCAAATGCCATCCATCAGCTGCCCAATCATCAAAGGAGCCTGGTCCGAAAAAACGTGACACCAGATGCTCACAAAGTACACTATCGTGTAATGGGACTAGCCGAGGTGCAAAATGGGCGCCATTTTGCCAAAAAAATCCCATGAAAGGGTCTTATTTTGTCCCTGGATAGGGTTGTACTTGCTTTCCCCAGGCGCCCCCAGCACCAGCCCTGTCTTCGCCGTTTTCTGGGGAACTGAAAAATGGTAAAGTTTTCGTAAAATTGGCAGAAATTCGGAAGGACTTGGTAGGGTGGAGGTTGATTATCAGAAAGCATTGCACTGAAACTGCCACCCATCCCAATGATGTGTCTTCTATACCCGGCCAATCCGCAGACTCTATATCCCGGAGATGGGAAAGGCGTGGCTGCGTACTTCGTTTGGCGGCGGCATTCTTGATGGAGTTTCGTCATTTTGCATTGTGGTAGTGTTTTTGTCTAGCAGTTGTCTCAAATAAAAATTCCAAATAAAACACGCATTCCAAGCCATAGTCGGATGGTGCGCGCGTATAAGTGCTAGTTCGTGCGCGACTGCGTGATGCCGCATCATGGATATCCTGGGCCATTTTCGCAGGTGGCCCAGGACATCCGTGACGCGGCATAGCGCGACTGCGGCAGAGCGGGTTTTGCTTTTTTCCATCGTCAACTTACCTTTTTAGATCTCAGCGAATCATCGGTCCTATCCATAACAGCGGTCTAGCCGAGATTTTAGGAGCCCAAATGGCTTTGCGGATGCTACGAAACTGGAAGGGATACAAGTAAGTCGTCATATAGTTTGTTAGTGGGCGGCAGTTTTACTGGCGTAAATCATCCCTTGCAAAGATCCCACAGTGTTTCTGAAGCCATTCACCGTCCTCGAAATCACGAGGCCCAGGTTCGAATCTTATACGACGCTGAGAATCTTGTCCCGATAGATGCACCATATTTCCTAGTCATGTAGGCGGAGACAGCCAACCACTTGAGTCTCCCTCATTGGTGCGCTCCTTCTCTTTACAGTGTTAGAAGGAGAAAGACCCTGGCAGATGATTAACTGTCTACGCCCACATGATCAGTGCGGACAGCGTATTTAAGTCCTCTTCCAGCAACGAACCAGTGATCTTACGCACGGACTTTCTGCCATTAGTGCGTGCTATGAGTGGAGGCACAAGTGACGGCAGGTATAGATTTCATTGCCTGTCCATCTACTTATGTTTTGACCAACTCGTGACATCCTCAGGTTCGCAGATGAAATGGAAAAGGTTCGAAGCTTGGCGATGGAATATCCGAATGGCGTTCAGTTCCAACACGTTTACGCTCACGATGGTGATCCCGGAAATGAGCAGGTAATGGAATATGCACTTAACTTAGCTTTGGCCTGAGAGGGACATTTTGCAGGCGCAGTTTGGGGGGGGGGATCATTTTGCTTTCCAAAGATGTGTTGGCCAATCTAGGTAGCCATTTCGCGAGTTGACTTTTTTTAGGATAAT